CTTATTAGATTTATAGGTTTTAATCCCTCATTTATTAAAATCGATGAAAATAATCTTTACTTTATATTAACTATTAACCTTATTAGTTGAAAGTAAATTTTTATTAATTAATTAATTTTGTTAATTCTGTTAACAGAAAAAAATTAAAAAAAAGGTTTTTGATAATTAAGAACTAACAAAATATTACAAAATAAAAGTTATTTTTTTTATTTTAATAGATAAAAAGCTAAAAATATTATAATATAAGGTGAGAGATTAAAACTTATAAATCTAATAATACAAAATATTAAAAATATTATAATATAAAATAAAAAATTAAAACATAAGTGAAAAAGCTAAAAATAAGCTTTTACCCTCTCGAAGAAACACAGAAATTGCATGAGATGTGCTTCGAAAAACTGTTATGTCGCGTGACTCCTATGAATTAACAATCTCGACCGGCGAGTCAATGACGATAAATACAGCCGACAACGACGTTGACATTTTCTATTCCGGTAGGCAGCCATTAAACGAAGAAAAAAGAATACTCGAAATCCACGGATCAATCTAATTTCCAGTAAATAATGTTTTAAAATTTTCACTTTTTTTTTTCTCCTCGCAAAATTCTCAGAAACCAAACAAACCATTAACTATAACGTTGCACGAGAAAAAAAAAAAGAGAATCACCTGAATTTGTAGAACGCCGCAAAAATCTGGTGAATCTCCGGATCACATTAGTTTCCTCCTCATTTAGATCACGCTGATTCCCCACAGAATATCCGATGAATCTCCAGAGAACAGGAGAGGGAGCGAAGAATAATGCAATCTGATTAGCCGACGGAGTTTCCATTTATAAGCCCCGTAATATCTTGAAATGTCCATTTTGCCCTTCTGCAACTACTCAAATTACGGGACAAAAGTATACATTTAACTCTTTATCTTGTTATGTATGAAACTTTTAAGGCAAAACCATAAGTTAAGCCCCTGAACCAACCCCAGAATCGCTGTTAAGCCCCTAGACTGTAATTGATGCATATAAGCCCTTGAACTCGGGGATCAAAGCAATTAAGCCATTCTTCTTACGCCAACTTAACTGCCGTTTGGGACTGTCGGCCTGACTTAACTGCCGTTGAGGACACACCCCGCTTGGCTGCTTGGATGGCAAAAAATTGTCATGTCATGCTTACATGGCAAGTGATTTAACATTTGACCTGAATTTTTGATTTATTTGATAATTTAATTTTTTTATTTAATAAAATATAAATAAAATAAAATCATAAATTT